AAATGTAGTCCAGGGTGATGTGTAACAGTCTGTGTGGTGTGAGAGACAATATAATGGGAGGGCAACCTCTGGTGGCAAGCGGACTTTTGTAAAAGGTTGATCTGTGAGAAGATATGACAACACTAAGTTATTTACAGTTACATACAAGTCTTATGTAGGCTATTTATTCATACACTTTTTATCCTACTTTTTTCAGATTATATAAAAACATTTGAACCCAATCATAACGTATCTCTAACTTGACTTGTGAAATAAAAATTAAAACACTTCTATTCTAGAAACACTCTAGAAGGCAAGAAAAAATCTCACGAGTCAATCTCAGTAAAATATAATTTTGATGGTTAGAAATTCTTAGTAATATGCAAACATAAATGTAAAATCAAAATTGTATGATCAATAATTAAAACATGTTTTTACATTACTTTAATCAAAATAAGTTAAGCAATTCTTAACTTTTTTAAATAAATTAAGATCATGTTTTAAGTGTTTAATTTATATTGAAATTACTTAGAGAGCTAAGTTGACTATTACAGTGGAGAAATTTCAACAGTGTTAGAGGTGCAATAACAAACCTTCTGAATAATAACCCAAAAAACATCACAAAAATTTGCTTTTTTTTCTATGAATGATTCTGTACTGTCTAATAATTGGTGACTGTTACTCAAAAGACAACCAGAACAAACATATAGGAAAAAAGAGAAATCTTTACATCACATGAATGAGTTTGAATAACATAGACTCATATACTTAGAGTAAAAAGGGGTAACATTGTGGTATATAATTATGACCTGTTAGACTATACTGTATCAATATGTCAGCTGATCAATATGCTTTATAAAATAGAAAGAAGAGGAGCTCAATATCACACTTTATTAACAAGTCACTTTATTAAACATTTATAGTCAGTTATTATGAAATAAAGAGTGGTAACATTTTGATAGCTATATGAAATTTTACTTGTCAGATTCAGTGACCCTAGCCAACTGCAATCATAAGCATTTCTAAGGAACAGTAGGAACTGTAGATCTCCAACATCATTGGGTAATTACGGGAACTAGTAATAAGAATAAAGATAAGAGCTACATTTATCAGATAATTAGAATATGTTATACAAGAGCTAAAACGGAAACCATTCTTAGTAGTAGACTAACACATTAGCAGACAGCAGCAGCATTAATGTTTCCTTTATTTTCTACAAGCATTTAGATGCTGGTGACAATATCTAGCTTGTTTTCTGTAGTCTTAAGACATGAAACGTGTTTTACAGCACCGCTCGTCTCCTCTGACGCTGATCATTCGGCTTCAGTGTCTGATCTAACATGCGCTCTCCCGCACGAACATTTGCTGAACAGCGAATTTGGTCACAGTTTTCGGTAGGTCACCGATTTCGGCACAACACCGGACTGACTGTGAGGTGAGCTAACACTCTTCTTACCAGTCTTTCTACTGGCTTACTGTCTGGTCGGGTAGCTTTCCTCTCCATAAGCTTTTATAGATGTTGCGATGGTTGTGGTCCTGGCTAACGTAGCGTTGCTGATAACGTGAGTATAAGTAGGCAGCTGGTGCAGCGCATATTCAGCTTTTCGCTTCGGAGCTGAGCGGTTTCATCATTCTGCTCCTGACCTTCTGCTTAACGAGTGATCTACAGATCGAGTACAAGCACGCTCTTCGGAAGCTCTCGTGCTGGCGGTATGGCGCTTCAGCGGCGTTGGTTCTTCCCGTGTCGAGTGGGTTGCACACCTGTTTGTGTTGCAGGCGGCCATCTCCCCTGTGCACTTCAGCACACTAAAAGAGCAAACTCTAAAAGAGCATTCATGGGTGGACGTCTTTTTAAAGATGCCTTTCTGGATGCGGTCATTACCTGGCGCCGGGCGATGGTCACGATCGCTGCCTCACGTGTATGGGCATTAAACACGCTGAGGTGGCGTTCGCGGATGAGTCATGTTCCCATTGCAGAAAAATGACAGACGCAAAGTTGCGGACCAGGCTCCGTTTCCTGCAAAGGGGCGGGGTGCCCGTGCCTCTGCCTAGATCTAGGGCTCCCCCTGGCGGCTGCCGGGGGTGGTGCTACTTCTGGCAGTAGCCGGACTGGTCTTACGGTGACGGTGAGGAATTCCCCTCCGAGGAACCAACCTCCTAGGGCTCCTCCTTCCACCGGCACTTCGCAGCCAGTGGAGCCACCGAAAGAAGCTGGACCCTCTCGTAGGGTACCGCTTGTATCCTTCGGTGCTCCCCTTGACGATCGGATGTCGATCGCTGCATTGGAGAGTGAGCCAGACCTTTCTGGAGAGGATGATCCCTCTGGGCGGCCAGCAATGCCGGATACAGATCCGGAAATGGTGGCTATGCTTACCCGGGCCGCCGAGAGCGTCGGGCTCGAGTGGAAACTTCCACCGCGTCCCGAACCCTCTAGGCTGGATGATTGGTTTCTCGGGGTGGCTCGCGCTGGTTCTCAGGACCCCATCCCAGTGCCTTTCTTCCCGGAGGTGCATGATGAGCTCACTGGGTCGTGGATGACACCTTTCACTGCCAGAAACCGCCCCAGTGGCTCGTCCTCCCTCACCACCCTTGACGGTGGGGCAGCGCGGGGGTATACGGAAGTTCCTCCGGTGGAGCGGTTGGTTGCAATGCAATTGTGTCCAAATACCGCTGCCACCTGGCGGGGCAAGCCGTCGCTCCCCTCCCGGGCCTGTAGGTACTCGTCGGCCCTGACCGGCAGTGCTTAAGCGGCCTGCGGAGAAGCTGCCTCTGCCCTACACGCCATGGCGTTGTTGCAGATTCATCAGGCCAAGGCACTGAAGGACCTGCACGAGGGTGGTCACGACCCAGAAGTTCTCAAAGAACTCCGTACCGCTACTGACCTCGCGCTACGAGCGACAAAGGTCACTGCGTGGTCTCTGGGCCGTGCAATGTCCACTATGGTGGTCCAGGAGCACCATCTCTGGCGAACTTGACGGTGTCCCAGACCGGCCTCTTCGGCGACGCAGTAGAGAACTTCGCCCAGCAGTTCGCCGCACAGAAGCAGACTGAGGCCATCAAACACATTCTGCCCCGGCGTGTAGCTGCTGCTTCCACCCGGCCGCCGGCGGCAGTGCCTCAGTCTACTGGTCACAGGGCAGCCGCCCCGCCCGTCCAAGCCCCCGCCAAACCTGGTGGCAAACGCAAGAGCAAGAGACCCTGAGACAGGCGACCCAGAGATGGAGGGAACTGCTCTTCGGGAGATGGTAAACGCACCACTCCCTCCCCCGGACGGGCGGAGAATCTTTTGTTTCTTTTTTCTCAAAAGACCCAAAACCTAGACAAAAGAGTGGTTTCTTCTATCTCTTGGTCCCCAGAGTGGACGGGGAGTTGTGGATGAGCCAGTCTCGGATCACACTCACCCTACTCTCTCGCCAGTGAGCAGCTGTGGGCGGTTCGAGAGTGCGATCAAACGTACTAC